TTTAGGATTGATTATGTAAAAATTTTATTTTTGTATTAAAATCTTAAATTTTTAGAGGTTATTTGATGATTAAGTTTATTTAAATAAAAATTGAAAAAGTTAAGTTAAAATTTAATAAAATTAGATTATATGAATATAATTAAAGGAGAATTAAATAAATTAGAGTAGAGTTGATGATTTAATAAGATTTTTAATTTAAAAGAAATTACAAGAAAAGAATAGGAATTAATAAAAAAAAATTAAATGATTAGAGATAAAATAATAATGTTTAATTTCTTATGTTATATGGTGCGTATGTTCAAGGTATTGAATCAAGTCGAGGTATCGATTTTTAGAGAAAGGTTACGATAACCAATGGTCTTAAGTGAATCGGATAAGTGTAACTCACCTATATCATGGACGTAAATGCTATGTGTTTTTATGTGATTAATGTGATGTGATGGTTTTAAGGTGCATTCGTATACATACATATGTTTGACATATTGATTGCAAGAAAATGTTTTAAGTAAACAAATAAGGTTATTTTTTAATGTATATTGAGGTTTAAAGGTTTAGGTTGCCTATTGGGGCATAAACGTTGAGGTTTGACTCGTTAAATGATGAGGTTAATAATTTTATATATGTTTTTATTGAGGTTAGACTTTGCTAACTAGTGTTAGTATCTTCTAGTGGGTCCAAATGAGAAAAATAATTTTAAAGAAATTTATGTATAAAAAGTTTTAATATAAAATCATACATGTTACACTTATTGGGATATTCGTATTTCATATTCGTTCGTAGTGTAGGTAATGATGCAAATGTTGAGGATGTTGTTGCTTGCTTCCAATGATCAATGATTCATGTGCTCGCCTTTGCGTGTTCTTAACGATTATGTTATGCATTAAATGAATATTTATTTTTAAAATAATAAATATAATGATGTTAAACTTATGTATGTTGAAAATTTTTACTTAGAATTTGAGTATAAATATTGGGACACTATGATTTAAAAATGTTAATTATGGCGAGAGATATTTTATAAATGATAAAATTTTAGAATAACGTTTTTTCTATGTTAATGAGAAAATATTATGGATATGTATTATTAATGGCATATTTTAAATTGACATATTTAAAAATATATAAGATTAAATTAGGAACTTAATTTTTTAAAAATTAAAAAGGATATAAGTTTTAGTATCGACTCGTTCGGGCATGACTCTTTAAGTGAGGTGTCTCGGTTGACCAGCGTTACATCTAGACTCGGTTAGAACTCAAAATAGAATTTTTGGGGTCTTGCGAGAGATAGTGAAGAATTAAGAGGATTTTTTTTTAGGGGTTTCAAATTAAGGGTTTGAGATCGTTCGATCTTAATAGGGATTAAGTAGATCTGGATGAGTAAGAGACAAAGAAAAAAGAAAAAAAAAGGAGGCTAGGGATTTGGTTTTGATAGAAGGACAATAGGAAGATTTTCAAGTTTGAAGGAGAGGAGAGGGTATCGAACACTTGGTTTGAGTGGAGAATGGAAGATGAAGAGGTGAGAGGAAGATTTGGTTTCGATTGAAGGTAGGAGGAGAGATAGATGAGAGATTCATGAGATTTGGTTGAAGGGAAAGGAATGAAGGTGAAAAAAGAGATGAGAAGGATTGTGTTTGATCCAAAGAAGATTAAAAGAAAGGGAAAATTGTGTTAGATGGGGATTTATGCTAGGTAAAGAAAAGAAGGGTTGGACTTGGCTAAGCCTAACTCGCGTGCCAAAGCTTAAGCTCATCTCAACCCGACCCACACTCTAAAAAAAGAAATAAGAAAAAGGAGAAGAAGAAGAAAATGAGAGGTCTGGCTAGCTTAGTAGGCCCACCTAATGGGCTAAAGGCCCAATGATCCAAAAAAATCCAATACCCTAATTTTAGTCCCTTTTTAGATAAATTGGCCTCGAATTTCCTTTTTGTATGTATGTTTTTTTTTTTTTTGGTCCTAGGCTTAATTTAGATTGAATATTTTAAATTCCTATAATTAATTTAGTTCATGTTTAGTGGGCCCACCTAATGGGTTGAGGGCCTAATGATGCAAAAAAAAAAAAAAAAAAATCCAATACCCTAATTTTAGTCCTTTTTTCAAATAAATTGGCCTTGAATTTCCTTTTTGTATACAATAGTTTTTTTTTTTTTTTTTTTGTGGCTTTAGGCTTAATTTAGATTGAATATTTTAAATTTCTTCAATTAATTTAGTTCATGCTTAATTTTAGGATTTATTTAATAATTAAGTTAGGTAATTAAAAGATGAATGAATTATCGAGTTTTCTAATTTTTAAGAACTAATAACAATTTCCTGCCAACAAAAAAAAAAAAGAAAAAAGAAAAAAAATGAACCAAAAAAAAAAGGAAACGAAATGCTAGGGAAAAGATTTTAAAAAAAATGCTAAGAAAAGAAAAAAATGATGATAAATGACCAAAAAAATATAAAAAAAGAAATATATCTAAAAAACTAAAAAAAAATGATAAAAAAAAAAGAGAAGGCAAAAATATTGGAAAACATTAAAAAAATTAATAAATTATCATATTTAATAGGGACTGATGTTAGCTCAAAGCGATCACATTTTAGTAATTAGAATGTTTTATGATATATGGATTATGTCGAGACTTAAATTGGATTCAATGTTGAATTAACTAGATGCTCGACGAAGGAATTCGACGATTGGTTCAACATGATGTCACAAAAAAAAAAAAAAAAAAAAGCAGTTAGTTTGGCATAGGAAATAAAACATGGAATTTTGACTAGGATTAATTTTTGGCAAAAAATAAAAATTTTTAGCGAGATAAATTTTAGAACTAAGGTGGGCATGGTACCTTTTTCAGGAAATAGTGTTTTTGGGTAATTGATATTTTTCTAAAAACATAACCAATCTTTTATCTTAAAATCTCTAAATTAATGCTTATTTTAGACTTTTAGTTCATTTAAAGATTAAGTGACGAGACATCAAATAATTAAAATAGTGTGTAATTTCCTTATGCTTTTCCCCTCAACAATTATGGTGGAATTCCAAAGTTCATTTCAAGAATTTATTTCATTATCAAATAAATGGTCAGGTTGGAGTATTCATGATCAGGTAATCTTCTTTACCTATTTAACTTTTTCTGTGAATATTGTATATATATGTTAAATTAAATTCTTGATTTTGTTTTTTATAACCCGTGTGACATGTGCTAATTTATTGCATAATCTCCTAAGATTCCTAATTATGAAAATAGACAAGAGTGATGATTTAAGGGCCGATAGAAGTCAACCTAATTAGGTTGGGAGTTGGTATGACTTCTAAGTTATGTACCAGTACTGATTCCTTGTCTTCATTGCTGTAATTAAAACATTAACGAAAAACCTCTTCCTTTAGTGGCTTAATTGATATACGAATCTTGTAAGAGCAATATTGTCAATAGCTGTGTGGTTCATTATAGTTCTTCCTTATTGATCCGTAACTCGTTGCTGATCTCGATTATGAATTAATTTTAAGTTTTTTGGGTTCATATCTTATGACAGATGGGTTGCGAATTTAGAAATGGAGAAGGATTAATTTTTATTGTTTAGTTCAAATTTTGGTGGGTGTCCTGATGAAGGGGAGGAAAAAAAGGAAAAAAGGTCGAAGAAGAAACAAACAAGCAATCAAATTAAAGATTTCCATTATTCTAGAAGTTATTCTTAATTTATCTTAGATTTTGCTAATAATATGTACATATTTGTCTCTTTTCATGTTATCTTACTACCATTTTTAGCACAATTTTAAATTATAAATCCCTTTTCTAGCTGTTGGATGTAACTAGATATGGTGATTTGATTAAAAGTGGGAAATGGCTATAAACTCTCAAAATCTAGCTGCATTTTCTTTAAGCGAAATCAATTAGGACGTTAATTAATTAATGCTGATTCTTTTTTGGGCTCTTTTTTCCTTTTCTTTTTTTCCAGCTTGTGGGATATATATATATATCCAGTCATCATCGGTTTTTTTTTTTTTATCATTTCTGAAAAATGATCATGCTTCAGTGAGCTATTACAAGGAGGAGGAGGCAGTGGCGGAGATAGCCATTGTTTCTTGAAAGGCCGAAAAATATACCTGGAACTTGATTTGCAATTAATCTATTTCTGCATCTATACTTATAGAATAAATGTTTTTTTAACGATTGAAGATCATGCTGGTGCTAAAAGAAAACCAGTCTTAGATGGGGGCCGGGATTCTGAAATTTTGATAAATCAAAAGCCTTTCTTTTCATATTTTTAGCATTTAAATAAATAACAACAAGAGGGAGGATCACGTGGTTCCATAAAGTCTTCATTGCTAATTTGACTTGCATCATCATAGAATGTTATTATCATAGAATGTTTTATGGCTAAATTTTCATTCAAGTCCAGAATTTCGTACAATTACCATGGGTACTTATTTTCTTAATTAATTTAAGGACAACACTAAAGGAATCTCCCTATCGTTACTCTTCATATACCCTACGTACCTTATTTTAAACCATGCACTCTCAAGAAAAAGCATTCTAATACCAAAAATATACGAAAAAGTCACATGTTTGCCAGTATTTTGGGAAGACCACTGCCCCTTAATAACTAGCTCTATGACTCGCCGCCCATAAATTAGGAGGCAAATCATGATATGGTGATATTGAACCATGAATTGAATTGAAGGGCAGATGATAATGAATTAGAATGGTTGTTCACATTAGCCCGCTTAATTAGCCGCCTCTAATTACTTTGTCAAAATAATTAATATTAGAGGCGCACACACACACATATATAGATATATACATACACGTTACTGTGAGACTAAGTACATAAAGTGGCTTAACTATTTTTACTATATATAAGTATATACAAGAGAGCGTCCATAGAACTAATTGGAAGGATCGAACATAATTTTGAAGGATCTTGTGAGCTCCCCTTACCCCTGTAGTATGTCTCTCTCCCTTTTCTGATCAGTGTGTAGTTGTCCTATAAAATATATATATATTTAAGGGAGAAAAAATATGGGAAGAGCACCGTGTTGCTCTAAGGTAGGTTTAGATAGAGGTCCATGGACTCCTAAAGAAGACACCCTTCTTGTTAACTATATCCAAACACATGGTGAAGGCCATTGGAGATCCTTGCCCATCAAAGCTGGTAAGTGAAGAAATTGATCCTAGCTCCTTAATTAATTCCCAACTAGCCAGGTTTTACAGTTAATTTGTGAGTTAATTGGAGCATATATTCTTCTTTCGTATGAATGTCTAGCTAATTTGTCGTAACTGTCTTGCTTCTGTTCAAGTAGGGATAATCTGCTTCAAAAATTTGAGATGATTAAGCTGAGTTAATTTGTTGATCCTTTTGTGCACATGATCAAGGGCTACTAAGATGTGGCAAGAGTTGTAGGCTAAGATGGCTTAACTATCTTCGACCCGGTATCAAGAGAGGGAACATCACTCCGGACGAGGATGACCTAATCATCAGACTGCATTCCCTTCTAGGCAATCGTTGGTCTCTCATTGCCAGAAGGTTGCCAGGCCGAACTGACAATGAAATCAAGAACTACTGGAACTCCCATCTCAGCAAAAGACTCAAGATTAGCAACGAAGAAAATGAGTCAAAATGCATGAGGGAGTCGGCTGGACGAAAGAGAAATATGATCTCCAATGTCAACAACAAAAGGAAGTTAGAGAAGGACTATGAAGGCGCTAGTGGAAACGGAGAGACTTCTACTACAAAGACCAAGATTCATACCCCAAAGGCAATAAGAGTTTCTCCATCCTCAGTAAATATCAGTATTCGTAACATGGTTGGCTCATCTAGTCATACAGGAGGAGTTGGTGATCATGATACCAATTGGTGCGTGCCTGATCTTGAAGGTGATAACCATATTAATGGAGATCAGGGTTCTGTATCCAATCATTGTCTCGACAATTTTGTCCATGATGACCCTGATGATGATTTCTCGAGCCAAAATTCTTTACCAAGGACTATTGATAACATGCTGGAAGAGATGTTTGAGGAATATCAGCAGCTCCTGAATGCAGACAATCATGCTCAATTATTGGACTCTTTTGTGGACTCTTTATTAGCTTGAATTAATGCAGTGATAAATTGCTCTACGTACTGCTGCATTTTGTGTGGTTAATTAGTTAACTTAGGATTTCACGTGCATACCTTCCTGAAATAAAGTGTGTTCAATAAGAAATTATGTGAATATTATTAAAGAATAATATAAATTATATTTTAAAATTTCATATAATAGTTTAAGTTTTTAAATAAAATAATCTTTTTATATAATATCAGAACCTTCTTATAAAATAATATAAATCATATTCATAACTTTTAAGCTAAAAAAAACTTTGATTTGGTTTACCTTCATATAAGAAAACATTAACTAGAGAAGAATTTTCTGCCACCATTCTTCTGAAAAATTGATGGATTACCAGACGAAACGGGATTCAAAAGAATAGTTTAAAAATAATTTAATTAATATTATTACTATTCTTTTTGTTGTCGTTCGCAAAGAGAAAAATAAAATTTATTTAATATACTTTCTAAGAATGTACGCATATAATATAATATATATGATTAATCAATTCATCTAAATCTAAAACTATGGTATAATTTTCTTCAACAAATACATCTGACTAGATCTTTTTGCTGAGAGAATATCATTATGAAGCAAATTTTGACAACATTGTGAACAGGGAAGGGAGGAGACTGGGTTATAAGAGTCACGCCTGATTTCCCCCAGCTAATTAATATAAAATCTTCAAGCCGTTATCTCGCATCAGAGATTTTTCTTTTTCCCTGCTACGTAGCCTCAGCTGCTTTTAGTTTTATGCCCGGTCCTTTGTTTCTGTTGACGGATCTGTGTACTCCTTAACTGTATAAATATATGACAATTTGCCACTATTTTAGGAGCAGACCCTTAACCAACTATTCAAGAAGCAATTTACAGAAAAGGTCAAAGAAAATTATCTCTAACGTGTTGCTTCAGTATGTTTTATGTCCGGTCCTTTCTTTGTTTTGACGAATCTGTGTACTCCTTTTATATATATATATATATATATATAGTTGAATTTAAATATATCTTAGGAATATTTTTTATTTTGTAAATAAAAAATACTTGCAATTAGTTATTTATTTTAAAAAGATCAAATTCGAAGGAGGTGTTTAATCAATTTATATTAGAAGAATATTTAATTTTAGTTAATGAATATTTATAAAAATAGAAAAAATAACAATTAATTATGAAAAAAATTAATTTTAATTAAATAATAAATAATGAAAAAAATAACCCAATCCAACAAAAAAATTATTTATCATATTAATTAAAATTAAGGATAGCTTTATATAAATTAATAACTTAGAGTATCAAAGTGTAAATAATTAAAAAATTGATTAAAGAATCATTAATTTTTTTAGAAAAATGATAGTTTGAGGTTCACTATAGCAGAGGCTTAGCTACAATAAAATTATTTTATTCTCTTTTAGTATATGTTATAATATATATTTGAAAAGCAGTTTTGTTCAAAGAAGAAATTATAGTCATTTGAAAGGATCTTATGATAAATTAAGATATCATTTCGATCTGAATAAATATGCTACGTCTGAACTGAATTCTTTTCAATTAAAAAATTTATATATAATTGTTTTGGAACGATTAGAAGACTTGTTAGAACAAATGCGAGATTCTGCTTCTGGCAGCGACATCCTATGTTGTGGTTGTCCTGCATATGAGCTCAAATCAATACATTTTAAGAAGAAATTTTTGAATATCAATTTCATCCATTTCATTATATCATATCAAATCCTATTAGTTGAATCACTTTTTTCAAGAACTATGAAATATTTAAATCATACAAGTAAATGAGTATTTCATGTCTTAGAAACGTGGGATCTTGTCTCATCTAGCATTTATTAGGACTATTTGGAGTGCCAAGCTTGTGGAACAATCTAAAAGAATAATGTATCATGAACTTTGTACTGTTCACATCTCTTAGATGAGATGCATGAGAGTGTCTTCGTTGATTAAAAAAAAAAAAAAGGGAATTGCTCCGATAAAGATAATACAATTTGCCACTATTTAATAGCAAACTGTTAAAAAACTATTAGAAATAATTTACAGAAAAAGTCAAAGGAAATGATTCCATCTTATACAGAAACCCTTTTAACTTGCAAATTAATTTTTTCAACCTCCTGCAATATATATTGCCCTAGACTTTGCCATTCTAAGACGAATGGACTGAATTAATAATGAACCTGATCAATAAATTTTCATTTGTTGAAGGTCCTGCCAGATCCATGCACTGTTGATTTGTCTGTGCACATAAGCACACCTAGGTATATACATTGTAAAAAACAAGCCACTGTTGATTTCAGATATTCACAATATTTCTTCGATCCCGTCTGAATTTACCTGATTTAGTAAAAAGCCTATTAATTCAGAATAGCAAACAAGCCAACGAAATTAACTTTGTCCTGGAATATCTATCCATTTTTTTTTAAAAAAAAAAAAAATCGAGATTCATTAATTAATGAAAACATATCTTAAAAAAAGCGAAACAAAAGAGAAAACAAAGATATCCAATATTACATGCATATGGATACTTGATCCTGTGAACAAACAGTGCAACATCAATTACTAAATACAACCCCAATTCTGAAGCACAAAAACCACATTAAATACCACCGTGAAAGCCAGCATGAACCACAACAGTGAAAAACAGCTTGCAAATGGAGCAAGAACCAAACACACCACCAAAGTGTAACTTTACCCTGGTAAGTTGATCATATTCCTCCCACGCAAAGACGAAATGCTCAGTTTGCCAAATGAAAATAGAAAAGAACACATATTCAAAATTCATGGATGCAAAGATTTAGCTTATAGGACGAGCGTAACAAAAATGAATGTGCTACCTCTTGTGAAAAGAAAGGATTATCAAGCATACGGTGACGTTATCAACGAAATCATATCACTCCACAGCCACAACTTTTTTATTCAAGAATATATATATATATATATATATAACACTCACTCTTGCACTCTATTTAATTTTTTTGCATGGGCACAAGGTTGATTAAAATATTTATATTTTACTTTCATTTTATTAATTTATGTATTTATTTGATAAAAGTACATGAATACAGAAGACGTCATGACTAAGAAACGGTAAGAACTATACACACACATTACTGTCGGTGGCACCTATCTCTGGTTCAATCAATGATAGATCGTCACTTTTCAATTGTCAAACAATATATATATAAGATCTACTTTTGTTCAAAGAAGAGATTCTAGTAAATTAAAAGTATCTTATGATAAAGCCAATCATTTCGATCCCAAATTTTGAACTGAATTTTTTTTGTCATAAAAAATTTATTTATAAGATCCTGATAAAAATAACATAATTTGCCACTATTTTAGTAGCAGAATCTTAACAAACTATTCAAGAATCAATTTACAGAAAAAGTCAAAGAAAATGATCTCTAACGTTGCTTCAGTATGTTTTATGTCCGGTCCTTTCTTTATTTTGACGAATCTGTGTACTCCTTAACTATATATATACACACACACTCTATGGTATATGCTCTATGGTCTCGGATAGCTTTTATTTTGACTGAATCTTGTAATTCTTATGATAAATTTAGATATCATTTCGATCTGAAGACATCCTACGTCTGACTTGAATTCTTTTTAATTAAAAAAATTATTTATAATTGTTCTGGAACAATTAAAAAGATTTGTTAGAAGAAATACGAGATTCTGCTTCTGGCAGCAACATCTTATGGTGTGGTTGTCCTGCATATGAGGTCAAATCAATACGTTTTAGGAAAAAAATTTTGAATATCAATTTCATCCATTTCATTAGTATCATATCAAATCCCATTAATTGAATCACTTTTTTCAAGAAATATGAAATATTTAAATCATACAATAAATGAGTATTTCATGGCTTAGAAATGTGGGATGTTGTCTCCACTAGCATTTATTAGGACTATTTGGAGTGCCAAGCTTGTAGAACAATCTAAAAGAACACCGTATCATGAACTTTGTACTGTTCACATCTCTTAGATGAGATGAATGAGAGTGTTTTCATTGATTAAAAAAAAAAACAACCCTTAATACAATTTGCCACTATTTAATTGCTCCGATAAAGATAATACAATTTGCCACTATTTACTAGCAGACTGTTAACAAACTATTAGAAACAATTTACAGAAAAAGTCAAAGAAAATGATTCCATCTTATACAGAAACCCTTAATCTTAACTTGCAAATTAATTTTTTTAACCTCCTGCAATATATATTGCTCTAGACTTTGCCATTCTAATATGAATGGACTGAATTAATAATTGACCTGATCAATAAATTTTCATTTGTTAAAGGTGCTGCCAGATCGATGCGTTATTGATTTCTCTGTGCACATAAGCACACCTAGGTAGCAGCTGCTTTCAAAACCATATATATTATAACCTATTTTTCTTCCATATGTCATTGACAGCATCAATATATATATATTGTGAAAAACAAGCGATTGTTGATTTCAGATATTCACAATATTTCTTCGATCTCATCTGAATTTGCCTGATTTAGTGAAAAGCGTATTAATTCAGAATAGCAAACAAGACAATAAAATTAACTTCGTCCTGGAATATGCACTTTTTTTTTTTTTTAATTCGAGATTCATTAATTAATGAAAATACATCTTAAAAAAAGCGAAAACATAAGAGACAACAAACATATCCAATATTACATGCATATGGATACCAGTACCGTGAAAGCATGCATGAACCACAACAAGGAAAAACAGCTTGCAAATAGAGCAAGAACCAAACACCACCAACGTGTAACTTTACCCTGGTAAGTTGATCACACAAAGACGAAATGCTCAGTTTGCCATATGAAAATAGAAAAGAAAACATATTCAAAATTCATGGATGCAAAGATTTAGCTTATGGGACGAGCGTAACAAAAATGAATGTGCTACGCCTTGTGAAAAGAAACGATTTCCAAGCATACAGTGATGTTATCAACAAAATCATATTACTCCACAGCGACAACTTTTTTATTCAAGAATATATATATATATATATTATATGGAATGGAATTGATTGTTTGACAATTGAAAAGTGACGATCTGTCATTGATTGAACCAGAGACAGTTGCCACCGACAGGAGCGTGTGTGTACAGTTCCTACCGTTTCTTAGTCATGACGTCTTCTGTATTCATGTACTTTTTTTTCTTTTTATAAATGAGAAACTTGAACCTGAGATATTTTTTATGGGAGGAGAAATATGAAAATATCTTAAGCATTTTAGGAATACCGACTAATCCGTATTCTGTCCATTTTTTAAATGGAATTATATTAATTGATTATCACTTATTATATTAATATATTATTTTTTATTTCACTATATTATATTCATTTTTCAAATTATTTAAACGATATCAATTTTATGATTGTGATTGTCGATCCTTTTATGTGGCTTAATTTAAATGAATGAAGTACTTAGTAGTAGATACTCCTGAAATATTAGAAATATTTTTAAAATAAATATTAATATTAATTGAGTTATAATTCATTGGCATATTCATATAGCATTTAATTTAGCATTATTGGTGACATGCATGCAGTCATTGATGTGACTCATTTTATATTTTCAAATGTGCGCTCTAAATATAGTATAAAAGTTTATGGACAAAAGGGTACCAGCATTTTGACACATGCCATTAATTCCCTCCAAATTTTAAAGAAAAATCAGGCATTTAGTGGACCATCTCAAACTTCGATCGAATCAAATTTCTTATTTTACCATTTAACAAATGAACATTTTTTTTTCTTTTTTCAGACATTTTTAAACCCAAGTGATTTGGACTGTTTTGAATTTTAAACAATCAAGTATCTTTCGGTCACGACCTTGGACCCCATTTGCCTATAAATAATGTAGGCTATGTAGCTGCTGCTAAGGTTTAGTGGAGTAGTATAGGCCTGTGGTTCAGGGCAAAAAAAGTAGTATAGGCCTGATATGGACCGGAAAGGGCCCAAACAACCAAGCTGGGGAAATTTGCATGGCAAGTGGATATGCATTTTATCAAAGAAAGATCAGCAAGACAGACAGAATGGTAAAATGAATTTAAAAAATAAACCGGCACTCGCTTTCTACTGGTGTTTTGGCCTTTTTCTATTGGTGCTTGCTTTCCGTAGGTGAATGGAATCCATAGTTCTTGCTTTGTCATGTTATTATTTTATATACATTAAAAAACCTATGCTAGTTAGGATTTGAGGGAAAGACTCATATTTTAAGATTTCTTTTTTATTTTTCTTTTCTTTTTTCTTTTTTCTTTTTCTTTTTCTTGAAATTTTAAGATGATTTGCTTGTTTGTGAACTATATTAATAACTTTGTTTCGATTATAAAGTTAAATAAATCATTGTTATCTGGATGGCATATTATTGGCAGGGACAACATTGTGGGGTATTATTTTACATCACCGGGGTTGTGAATCAAATAAATTATACTAGTGTTGTTATTTTAATTTCTACATTTTTTTTCTCTTTTCTTTTTTACGATATTAATTCTATTCATTGATTTAAATTAAATAAATATATCATTATTTTTGTGGCACAATGATATAAAAAAATTCAAAAATCCATGGATTCTTAACTAAAAAATTTTCTTATATTTTTGTTTTCAAAAAAATATAAGATAAATTATTTAAAAAACACTTTTAATCTTTATATATATATATATATATATATAACTCTTATTTTAACCTTTTCTCTATTTATTTAAATTTTTACTAGTGAACATGTGAAATTCAATTCTTGGTTTTTTCTTATCCCGCGAGCTATGTGTTCTTTGATTTTATTGGACAATAAAGAATCGTAGGACAACTGGTGGAAATTAAAAAGAAATGAAAGGGGAGAAGTCAAGCTAATTAGGTGGGAAATTGGTGGGATATTGAGATTTTCCTGAGCAAATAGCAATTACTTGTTTGTTGCCGTAAAAAAAAAAAAAAATGAAAGAAAAATTATTTATAAACGCTTACTGGATTTTCCTACTCTGTATTGCATATAGACATAATATATGATGTTATAATGTTAAGAGGTAGGAAATGTAGTTTTGACTAGTAGTAATGGCTATTACTCAGTTAATTTGTTATAGATCAATTTTTTTTAATTTATATAACCGAAAATCTTAATAAAATTAATTTATTAAAATGAATTACAAGCTCTTTGATATTTGATATTTGTTATGGATTCGGAACTCGGCGTTGATCTTTACAATTATTATAACTTATTATTCCAAAAGACTTTTACTTCCTCTTTTGTAAGCATTAGATATCCTTTATGATCTTTGTATTAGAGATGCCAATTTAACTGAGTGTTCAATTATTGTATTTTATCGCCCTCTCTATTGGATTATTGTATCCATGCTACATGTATGATATTTCCTCCCCTGTTTTCTTTTTCATTTTGACGTCCTTGATCTTCTTTGGTCATAGTGCAAGTGAAATTCCAGAATGAGAGGCCATGAAAAGCCAGCAAATCAAAATCATGACCAGAGAATGCCTCATATCGATAGGACTAGCAAAAGGTTAATCAGAATCACATCAGAAGACAGCAGACAACCAAGTACTACTCTACTAGTGAACTTGAGCCACAAGAACCTATGTACAACTGCTTGCACCACTTTGTGTCCCCTTAATACCCAGCTTTCGCTATTGCTCACTGCTCAAATATTTATTTTATTCAAATGGACAAAAGGGGCCAGCTGCCACATGAGCTTCTATTTAATAATAAATAACCTCAAAAGGTATTGGTTTTTACTTTAGCCTTAACTAAATAAATGGATCAAAACGGTATTATTTTTCCATAAAAAGAATAAGTGATTTTTAAAAAATATTTATTCATTTAGCTCTTAACATTTGGTTTTTCACAAATATAAATTCATTTTGATCTTTAGTTTGTATGGAATGTTTACTAATCTCTACTGTATTAAGATATAATCTTTGAAATAAGAGAGAAGATAGACAATTGTTTTTTTTTTTTTAATTTCTAGTGTTGATTAAAACTTGTTTTGAAGTCAAACGATTTTTAGATGTTCTTATCATATTTCTAAAGTTGCAGAAGCAGCGACGGGTCGTCCCCTTTTGCTGTAATTTTTATGGCTGGGCCACATGAGTCCGGTCCAAGCCCATTTTCTCAGGCCTGTCATGCGCCCAACTTCGTTTTTCTTTTTTATGCTTTTATTTTTTAATTATTTATTATTTGCTCAAAATAAATTTAAATTTATTCTTAAGAGTTAATTATTATTTGATTATTTTTTTAATTTTTTAGGTACTCAATAACTAAAATCAAACACACTTTCAATATATACATATGTATTAACTTAGCACCCTTTCCTTCCCTCCATTGTCCCCTTTTCGAATTGAATTTTATTTTTATTTTTTGTTAAATAGATAATTAATTATATGCATTTTTTTTATTTAATCAAAATCAAACATGTTCATAAAATATATTTAAACTCAAACATAAAATACATACATAACATTAAATGCTAGATAATATATTTTAAATTAAAAAATTCTCAAAATTAATATTGAATCATTGTAACTTAAATTTTAAAATTAATCAAATATTGAAACAGATTCTATGAACTTTGTCCGCGACAACGATCAAGTACTCCACTAGTGTTGACTGAAACAAATAAAAGAATCGTACAATTAGCATGTATACAATACTTCAATGCAAGAGTAACCCCTAGCAATTTGCTGACAATAGGGCTATACATTTGCTGAACAAGTATGGCCATCCTGAATGACCTAATTAAACTATAGTACACTTAGTAAATCTATGAAGAGTCCAAAATGTGTAAACCCTTGTTCTCATCTGTGGTATATACACCACCCCTGCACATGGTCTAAGCAAGACCCATGAAAGTAACCTGGCTTGTATCTTTGAAGTAAGAAAATTAAACCCCTGACTGATTTGCCTAGCCCAGGGGTTTCACAGTCGAAGAGGCAAACCATAATTGAGGTATGTTCTAATCCGTCCATCCCAGCCTGCAGTTACAATCACAAGACCCCACATGTGAGAACTTAACATATTTTGGCAAGCATTCTTCAAATACTTGAACTCGGGTCTAGATTTTGTAGGTGAGGCTGCCCTCGGACTTGAGTTGGGAAGTTTCTCCTCAGGCCAAGTTGCAGATCCCCTTGTCAAAGTCTCCAACAGAAATCCACGGGCAAGAGAGAAACAGTCTGATGGAGAAGAGGAAAGCCTTTTCTGGTCAAGCTCTCCACAAAATTTCGGACGGTTATGGTCATTTTGTAAACTAGTACCATCCCCACCAGTTTCAGGATATGAAAGCGTTCCTGGAACAGTTTCAATACCGCACCAAGGTATAGCAACAGATGCATTTTGAGACAAGAAGCTCTCACAAGACTGAATGTTCTTTGCTCGAGAAGTCCTTTCCTGGCTGGTATTGTTCCAGATGTAGACATTAGAATCTTCACTTGTTGATATAATATGTTTCCCATCCGAGGTAAAAGATGCAGAAGTCTGGTTTGCTGCAAACCGAAGGCTCGAAGCTGAAAGGGAAAACAACACAAAAGTCAAACTAATGCAATATCCAGAGCTAGAGATTGAAGAATGCATGCTATTCCATGAGCTGTAATTGAAAGGTTGAACACACAGCGGTGCAAAAAATGATGATCGCACTCGCGAGATCATCCAAACTGGCAGTGTTCAAAGCACCATAGACCATAGAAGACCATATGAAGAGGAAGAGAAAATAAGGATTAAGATAGAAGAATAAAAACCAACCCCTGAATTTGCAAATGACATCCAGGCCACATAGCACTCGTACTAGTGAATCAGCAGAAGTGACAACTACTTTGCTTGGGTCACTTGGGGAGAACTGGAGAGTAAAATTATAGATAATTGAGTCTCTGCCAAGCTAAATATCAAGAATGAAGCAAGTTGTCGACAAAAAAGAGGGCAAAAGTAAACCACCTCAAAGCCAGTTATCCTCTTGCCTGGTAGCTTCTTTTTGCTCTGTAAGCATATTTGAGCATCCAGTTGCAGTCGATTATCTGCATCATAAGACCAAGATCATTTGGTGGTCAAGCTGGCAGCTCTTTTGTGCATACAATATGAACTGATGTATAAAAAAGGGAAATTGATCGGTGTATTTATGATTCAGAGAACAAATATATATTCACCCACCACCTAAGGAATTTAATAAATCACCATAGAAAATCAGAGAACTAAGAAAATTGGTGGTGTGTGATGCAGAACAAGACTGCAGTTAAGACAATGTTATAAAACTCTAATAAGCTTGAATAAAAAAATCAATGACTATTGAGCAACCCAACACTCTTGTCAACAAACTCATCTTCATTTGGATCATAGAAGAGTGTCAGGAGCCCTCGAAAATTTAAAAACAAGAGGCATAGTTATTTATTAGCATCAAACAGACCTGCTTTAGAGAATCCCAGTTGACTAGCTTTCTAGTATATAACTAAGATGTTTTGGCTTTAGCTTGTAAAAATGCATACCTATGACATCATAGAAGAGGCAGTTTCCTGTCATTGTGCCTACCAGTCCTCCCTACAATATTAAGTAAAGAGATTGTTAAAACATGAATATCTCATTATTTTGCAGGTGCTAATAGCAAGAACTTTGCCAACCTTTCCACCAGGACGATAACACACAGCAGTAACTATCTCCCGTATATCAGTATAATCAACAACCTGACAGCCTAGCACTTCCCAGATGCGAACTTTACCATCTATTGAGCCAGTGATGAAATAATTGTCATCCACAGGATTGAAATCAACAGAAGTCACTGCAACAGTAATAACAGTGCCAACTATCACTGAACAACTAAAAACAAATGGAAGAAACAATTGAGATCATACCGAAATAAATCAACTAGCAATGATCGAATCATCGATCATACTACACATGTTAAAAGAAATTAAAACAAGCAGCAGGAGGCACACCATAATTATTATGGGAAAAAACTCTCAAGCATCGGTGGCATCCCACTTGCCAAAGGCGAACCGTCTTATCAACAGAAGAGGACAATAGAAACTGCAAGAAGTATCAAGAAGATGAAAGCAAATTAGACTTCACCAAGTTCAATATATGCAAGTTCAAGGCACAGCTATTTTAAGGATGAGTATAATATCTCTGAATTACAGAAACTGAAGCTACTAACCCTTTTCTTAGACCACGAGAGATCCAAAACCTCGCTGCTATGTCCTTGAAACTCATGCAGAGGCTTCTCCAATACCCTGAACACCTTTGGTGGAACAACAACACATGTGGACTCTGATGATCCATGTCTCTTCATTTTATCAATTTTCTTTTTATCCACATCAAGAGAAGCTAGTTCAGAAAGATGATTCATTGTGAAATATAGATACGAGGGATCGGTGGCTGGGATGTCAAAGTGAATGGATCTGTCATCCTCAATCACTTTCCACACACGCACGACACCATCTTCACCACCACTTGCCAGGTATTGCCCATCAAGACTGAATTTCATTGTCAAAATTGATCCCTTATGAGCCAGAAATTCCTGTCCAGTAAAGAGGGAAGACAATTCTTTGGTGTGCTTTTTGGATGGATGAACTTTAACTCTATGCATCCTTGCTCCTGTGGTTGATTCAAGATCACAGGGCTTCGAGGCAGCTGTCCCTTGTCTATGTATAATCCTTCCCATCAAACCAAATTTCTTCAGCCAACTCCTTTTAGCTTTCCTTTTGGCTTCTACTATATCTCTTCCATCATTAACATATTTCTTCAAAAATCTTTCAACCAAAGGAGATGTACCCAGTGTTCGTCGAAACTCTTCAAAACTAAGAGATTGATTGGATCCCACCTCGTGCAGTCTACTAAGCATTCCATCCTCATCCAATTCATCCACCAGAAACTCTGTTCCATCATCCAAATTTTTAATTCTACAAACAATATTCCCATCCGACATACCACTTTCAAATGATTGTCGCCAAACTTCATTTGACTCGGAAGACATCGAAGACTGAGTTGACAAAAAGCCATCTTCAAAACTTGATGTCCTTAACACCACTCCGCTAGTATCCACCATCCTATCATCAACACCTAATTGGATTTTGTCCTTGGAATCATCATAAAACTCCTCTTCAACACCTTCATTTCGATTCAAACTTAAACCCATCCACTTGAAGAACCTCCGCCGCCGATCTTGAACACTTTCTGGATTCTTAGTCCAATCATCATATGAAAAACTATTCAAAACACTAGGGCTACAATCCCCACAATCTGAACTCCAATCGGAAACAGAAGATATCTCCTGATGGGTATCGAAAAAGTTTGATTCTTGCTCTTCCTCTTCGCTAAAATTTCCCATTTTTATAATCATTTCACTATGAATCCATTAAATCCTGAATCATCAAATCAAAAATTCAAAACCAACAAAACAAAATCAAACATCAACCAATCCATAATCTCTGAAAGAAAAAAAAACAAAAAAAACAGCTACCCCAGATCTTGTGACATGACAATTCAATCCCTACCAATCTAAAAATGGAAACTTTTTTTTGCTCAACATCAAAAGATATAAAACCAAATCTCAAACAATAACAAAAAGAACGAATTGCTTGCAAATAAAACAAGTGCTAGAGAGATTTACACACCTGAGGTCACAAGTGAAATTTGGTCAAACCCCAGACATCAAACAGAAGTTTTCACTGAGGAGACAAAGAATAGCATATAAATATTGGGCTAAATTATTAGATTTCAGCGTCGGTACGAATGTACGAAGAAGGGAAAAGGAAGCGAAGAGAGTAGATCCAAAAAGTAAACGTTGCTTTTGTTTTTGTCTGAAATCTGAATTTTCTGATGGTAAGTCTCTCTCTCTCCCTCCCTCTCTACGTATTTTTGTGTGCTGTATCAATAAGCTTGAAGACCCTAAGAACTTGTAGTACAGTTTACTTTTGTTTGACTGCTAGTTTAGTTGTCGTTTGAGGTTAGAATGTCGTTTTCTTTGTACACCGTTTTTACTTCATCACCTTGCCTTTATCCTTTGTTTGGATAATTTATCTTGATTGGATAATTCCTCTTGAGAGGAAAGAAAAGAGAGTAAAAAAAATTATTTTTCACTTGTTGTTTGAATAAGGGTAGAAAGAAAAGGAAAGAAAGTATATTTTTTTTGTTTGGATAATTATAAAAAAAAAAGATGAAAGAAAATATATTATTGTATATTTACTATAATACTCCTATACTTATATTTCTATATTTAAATACTTATAATAAATTTGTATGAATATTTTTTTTCATGAAAATAACACGGATGATAATAAAATAAAAATCTAATATGTAGCATCTATCCGAAATGATAAGATGGATAATAAATCGTCTACGTATAATAATCGATAACTCGTTTATTAATTAATTAATTCAATAGCAAAAAAAAATCAATCAATACGAAAAAGAAAATAGAATGACAATCCGAAATAATTTTATCTCATAATTTCTTAGGTTAAATGGAACAAACACTTCTTAAAATAATATATATATATATATGTTATTATACTTTGAGCTATAAAATATTTTGATTGACATTTCTTGTGTTATATTCCATTCAATTTAGCCATCAAACATTACATGTAACTGAGATATTTTTCTTAAAAAAATCATTAAAAGGAGTAATAGGAATTAATTTCTTAATGGTAGTTTTATTATATCATAAATAATATAGATACTTCTAAATGTGATTTTTTTTTTTTAACTATCCTTTTCCAACTCTAAATGTGGTCATTCTGAAAAAAAAAAAAATCATTTGCTAGTTGGAAAAGGATGGGATGAGGAATCAATTAACTAATTGAGTTTGAATTGAAAACATCCGTGGAATTATATTTCTATGTTTTGAGTAAAAGTTGATTATCCATGTTAGAAATAAGAAGTTCATTAAAACTACTTTTTTTCTTTTAATATTGGAACAAGTACGCCTACAAACAAATTTTTTCTCTTTCATGGTTAAAGTATTACATGATAACAAAAATATTTAAAATTTATGGAAATAAATGCTTCAATAATTAATAAATTATTCATCGACGATTATATTTTTAAATCTATAACATAATTCTGAAAGAATAGAATAGTTTTTTAATCGCATATTATCTTTTTAATGGGTCATGTCACAAGCCAAGGAGAGAAAAATGTTGTTAATGATCCATTAAAAGCAAATTTTTTTTTTTCATTTCAGTAGCCAGATGACATTTGAATGTTACTATATTTCTTTTAATAGTTGGTAAATGGAATAAATTTTTAAATTATGCTACTCATAAAAATATTTATTATTATTAAAAAGTAAAAAAAATAATAAAAATAAAAATCTTGTGTTTGTTGGAAATTTATATCATAGAAGTTCTCACAAATGAATTTTAAAAATCAATTCAATAGAAGCACTTGATTTCAATCTTTTGTCAATATGACAAAATCAGTGGCTTTTTGATAAAATACCATGTCGGAAAATATAAAAAAATTCCATTCGAAATTAGTATTTTGACAGGAAATCTATTGCAGGAAAAAAAAAATTTCCGATTGAATTTTTTGTCAGATTTTTTTTTTAAATATAATTGGTAAAAAATGAGTTTTTAATTATATTTGGAAAAAAATATATATCAGAAATTTTATATATATATATATATATATATATATATAATTAGTGTTTTAGCACGGAGCATAGCAAATGCAAATTAAAATTGATGACTTTCATTAAGAAATATCGTATTTTTCACATCTACATACATGTAGAGTGATTACTCATTCGCATAGCCACATAATCCAAAATTTGTTTTACTAGTTACCCATTATTCTTTTTTATCTAATATGTAAAATACAAAAAGTTATTATAAAATCGTCAAAAATAGGCCTAAAGAAAGTTCTAAAATTATGCTCAAAAAAATACAAGCAAAATCTCTTATGTCAATGACAAAAAAAAAAAAAAAAGATATTAAAGAATAGAATTGAAATATGGATGCAATATAATGAAATATAACCACTCGAAAGTGTTCTCTATGAAATGAGATAAAATTTTGGGAATGAAAAAAATATATTCTGGGTTTTATGGGCATTACACAAATCGATCTGAAAATTATCAGAAACTATCTATTTCCCAGATTTTTCAATCACTTTTTACCTGATCTAGATTGGGTAATTCTGGGTTTTTCAAACCGTATCTGAAAATTAATGTTACCAATAACAACAAAAATATCACATTCATAGACTGTCCAGGCCAAGCATACTGATTTCACAAGAAAGAAGTGCCTGTAATAAGAATGAAGTTGAATTTTTCTGAGACGTCTACTTTTCAAGTGTCAGAACCATTTTCACTGCGCTAACTTTGCTATGGAATAAAGCAAATTAAAAATTCTCGCTTTGCTAACAAGCCATGGTGATACAGAATGTAAAGCCAAAGCAGGCATTTGCATAATGGAACGCAGTAAAATTTGGGGACCAAGGTGAGAGAAATATTACAATTTTCTCGAAAAAGTTCTGAAGTAAATTTTGACAACAACGCCTCCTGGAGTTGAACACTGCTGCTTTTGTCCTCCGATTGTCATGACCCTATCGATTGATAGTGGGCTGTTTTGGTAACGGATTCAGCGAGAGAGAGACAGAGGGAGTGGGTTTACAGAGGCGAGATCTGCAGAGAAAAAGAAGGGAACGACAAGCAAAGGTGGAAATGGAAGATGGGGTTTGGAGAGATGAGTTTTAGGGCTGTTTTGGTAACGGATCCAGCGAGAGAGAGAGGGAGTGGATTTGCAGAGGCGAGATCGGCAGACAAAGGGAACGACAGGCAAGGGCAAAAATGAAAAAAATGGAAAAAATAAATTGCTTTCCTCTCGTTTTTCTCCCCGTTTCCTCCTAATTTTGGGAGGAAAATAGATCCCACCATTTTTGTATTCTTTATTATTTTTTTTTTCATTCCACTGCTTTCCTCCCTCTTTCCAGACGACAGAAATATTTCTTTTCATCCCACTTTTCTTTCCTCTCCCCCACTTTCCACTCTATCAAAACAAGGGGTTAATGCTCTACAATTTTATTTTTTTTTATTTATGTTTTTTTGGTAAGTCAAATAGGTCTCTTTTTTTTTTTTTTTGAGATAATTCATATATGTCAAATTAGGAAGAAGGAATTTCATAGGAAAATAGATAGAACGAGAGAGGTGGAAAATTAGTCCTTTAACGATAATTTAATTTTTACGTTACGCTTGTTAATTTTTGTCTATAAATATAATTATACAGCTTATTAAGGGTTAAAGTTAAGCATAATTTATCCACAATATTTTAACATTTTGAATTCGAATTCAAGAATAAAAATTATAAATAACCAGATCTAAATATGAATGATTTGTCTCATATTAGATTATAGATATATCAAATATTGATGCATGAAACTAACTTGAGAATGCATTGACCATGAAAATAATAATAATAATAATAATAATACAAATATGTATTGTTTGGGATTTTATTTTATTTTATTTTGAGTTGATGGAATTCTTTAAAGTTTAAACATATAAAATTGGATGGTATATAATATACATAAATATTGAGTGAAATTGCAAGATATTTCTTGCTGAAATTTTTTCCAGTTAAAAATTATTTATGGCTCCACTTTTATCCTTTTTTTTCCTCTCTTCTATTCCATTTATGATTTATTTTTTATTTTTTTATTTTTTTGGCCTAATTCAAAGATTCAGCAGGAGATTCATTGGTTTTTGGTACTCCGTATATTTTTTTGTTTCGAATAAAATTAAATACGCAAACACCCACGGGCGCATATATACATATAAAAGGGTTCATGTTGATGCAAATCCGCAAGAACCCAAATTTAGAATACGTCAATGCATTAGATCAATTAATTGACTTTACGAATTAAATTGAAGAGCACCTACCACGTTCATAGCAGCCGCAAATTAAGCTTAAAGAGGAAATTACGCATTTGGTTATCCCCTGAATTTTATACCGGTCAAAGACAAGAGGCCAATTTCCAGGGGAGTAACGAGGAATTTTCAGCGAACTTGGGAATTTTGACCGCATCCCAATTTTGTCTGGCAGGACTTTGAATGAATTTGTACTGGTCTTATGAAACGCTTTCTTTGTGTTGGCCCATTCTTTTTTCTTTGTAAGATACATAATTATATTCTTAATATTAATTAAAACCCAAAAAAAAAAAAAATCACCCTTTGGTCTAGCAATGTTAATTCTATTTAGTACGGGGAAAGAACACTTTCTTCTTTTTTTTTTTTTAGTCAAATGAAAAAACATATTTGCGTTCAAGGAGTTTGAAGTTATATTTTAACTACCTTCACAAAAAGAATTTTTTTAAAAAAAAGTGTAAATAGTCACGTATTCCATCTAACGCCTTCATATATGCCAAATGGAAATATGGGGCAATTCCCTTTTACCCTAGGTTGCATCGGATATGTACAACGAATGGAAATCAACCATGACCGGAAAATATGACTTGAAATTGTTCATTAACAAAAACACTAAAATATTTAGAGTTTTTATTATTTATGTTGTCATAACACAAAATTTTCTCCTAATTATTCATCCATTTTATCCTTTATTTTCTTATCTTCTTTTATTTGTTTGTTTTATTTGTTATTTATTAATAATAAAAAATACACAAAATATAAAAAATTAACTATATCGGAGGCATAATTGAATCAAATAAAATTGAAATTGAAGTAATTAGGAATACAATTGAATCGATAAAAAATTTCGAACCACAATTACGGGATACAAGAACTTAATTGAAGAAATTAAAAGCATACGAAAAACATGTTCTAAGGATACAATCAAAACAAAGTTGAATTCACAAGGACCCAAATCAATCTATTACACAAACGACATGATCATTTTGGACCCCGAATGACTCGTCGTTTGTGCTTCTTTAGCAACGATCTTGGACGCTAGCTCCAATTCTCTCCACCTTCGGTATTGTCATCGTCTTCAACAAAGACAATGATCCAACGAGACAAAACTCACTCTTTGTTGGTAGTACTAGCCAAGAATCCTACCTGGACCTAGACATACCACCTAAAAAAGACAAGCAATGTGGCTACCACGGAGGTGTTGTCGAACACTCTATCGAAGACTATTTATCTTTCAAAAGGAAACTACAAACCCTCATTAAGAACCGATGAATAAGTTTTGACTATCCAAGTACCACTAAGCATCAATACTAATCCACTTCCAAACCATGCTACCGAAGAGGGGAGGTAAGCTTGATAAATTTTGAGGAGGCCGAGTTTGATAGAAGAAAGAAAAGTGTGAAAATGTCTATGGATAAGATCTACTCAATGTTGTCACAAATTGGGTATCTCGAAAAATCTACTAGTAGCAAGAAAGACGTAATGAGAGACAATACTGTTGATATCATCGAATGAAAGGACATGATATTGACAACTATAAGGAGTTCCATGATGATGTGAAACCACGATTATTTTAAGGACTCGGTGAATGAAGAGGAGTCAAGAAATAATCTCACTTTAGGAAACGAATCATACCGAGGTATATAGATTTCAACCAATAAGCAACGACCCTCTAAGGATGATTCTATTGGTACCAAAGAGCCATCTAACTCCATCATATAATGCAATAAGTCATGCCTATCCGATAATGAAGATATCTTTAACACCGATGTTGTTGGCTTTAATCGAAGTGGGTAATGTTTTACACTAAAAGAGTTAGAAATACTAAAAAAGACAAAAGACAAAAAGGTGATAAATCTCACCAAGATCGATGTAAACAAACCCATAGAGGATGTGGAAGTTATTGAATTTTTAAAGGTGATGAAAAATAGTGATTAAAATGTAATGGATCATTTGAAGAAGACGTTTGCTAGAATCTCCCTATTGTCACTAATTTTCGATTCCGAACCACACATAAAGGTGTCATAAAAAGTACTAAACAAAGCATACGTCTCTCGGGATGTTACTTTAGACATCATAGAACACCTAGTAGGGAGAATCGAAGTCATAAATCATCCGTCATTTTCGAAGATGAACTAGGCCTAGAAGGTGCAAGTCATAACAAACCATTGCACATCATAATCAAGTGTAAAGACCATGCGATCGCTAAGGTTTTGATTGAAAATGGTTCGATCTTGAATGTTTTGCCAAGTCATATCTTAGATTCTTTGCTTATGGATGCTTCCTTTATATATCTAAGTAACATGATGGTAAGAGCTTATGACTATTTTTCTAGGCATGTAATAGGAGACATTGACATTAAGCTAGATATAGGGCCAAATCGGTTTTAGGTCACCCTCCAAGTCATTGATATCTAACCTTCATACAACATGCTATTAGGTGGATCGAGGATCCACTCTGCTAAAGTCATAGTATCCTCACTATATCAAAGGCTCAAATATGTCTAATTACTCTAATAATAGAATAACACTACCATTATTGAAAAATATATTGATGCCATATATAGAAGTCGAGGAAAATCGAGATGGAAATATACAATATTTAATATTGTAAATACAAAATTGGTACCTAAAAATACTTTGTTAAGAAAGCTAGAAATACCTAAAACTGTGAAGATGATAAATAAGTACTTGATGAAGTATGGATATTTGTTATGTCGGGGCTTTGGTAGTGGAATGTTAGGAATAATAAACGACTTGAAAGGAATAAGTGGAGATCATTGCTTTAGACTAGAATTCAAACCTAGTAGGTAGGACCATCTAAGAGCTACCAAATAGAAGAAAGAGAAGAGGTTGGCCATAATCAAGAGCTGAGAGTAAAAAATGAGGAAAGAATCCATATTCCTCATATTCGAGCTACCTTTCCCTACTTGACTTGTATAATCAACCCGAATGAGGAAAGAAAGAACTTAGGGGAAGGGAAGGATGGTCCGTCCATTAACCGGATAGAAGCTAAAAGAGAAGGGAAAACTAAAAAGGTCATCCATCTTGAATCGACGGTGGTCGCTCCCTAAATTATGGTCCTGCCATAATTAACTCGTCAACACCCTTGAGAAAATTATGTTAATCAACTCAATAATCAAGAAATACGCAACGAGTGAGGAATTTAGCAAATAGAATGAAAAAGTGATTTAACCGGTCTATAAGCTTCGGTAATTTACTATTTTGACATCCTAATCTTTCGGTAATGAAGCTTAAGTTATTGAAAAGAACTCGTGTTGAGTATTTTTATTTAATATTAATAAGAGATCATGAATTTTTTTAAAACCTCACATCCATTCTCTTCCACTCCTTCTATTATAATATTTTTACTTTTAGGGATATAGAAAATGAATATCTTTGAAATTTTTAAAATAATTGCATTGAATATGTTTGATCAAAATTTGATTGTAATGGATGAAGAGGAGTTTAAGGATGAAAAAATAAATGAATTTGTCGAGCTAATTGAACTATTTGAATAATCCATAAAACTCTAATAGAAAGATTTAGAAAGTATAAATATGGAGACAAAATAAAATAGAAAAGAACTACAAGTTAGGACTATGATAACCGAAAAACAAATTGATTACATTGCTACTTAGAGTATATAAATGTGTTTGCATGGTCATATGAGGATATGTTTGGACTATAAACTAACATAGTGGTGCACAAGCTCCCGATCTTGCCTAGGCACAAGCTAATAAAGAAAAAATTAAGAAGAATGAGGCTAGATACTCTAGTCAAGGTCAAGAAAGAGATCATTAAGTAGTTTGAGGTAGGATTCTTAAAGGTGATTAAGTATTTAACTTTAGTGTCCAATATTGTGATGGTAGGAAAAAAGAATGAAAAGATCCGAATGTGTATCGACTTTTGAAATCTAAACAAGGTCGGTTCTAAATATGACTTTCCACTACTACAAATTGATATGTTGATAGATAATGCTGTAAAAAAACTCCACTTACTTTTTCATGGATGAGTTCTTAAGGTACAATCAAATCAAAATGGTGGAAGAAGATATAGAGAAGACCACCTTCATCATACCATGGGGGACCTATTACTATAAAGCCATGTTATTCGGATTGAAAAATGTTAAAGAAACTTATCAAGGAGCCATAGCCATTTCTTCTATGATATGATGCATAAGGAAATCAAGTTGTTTGTAGATGACATGATTGCCAAAACAAAACTCGAAGAAAATCACATCTAGATTTTGAGGAAATTGTTTAAAAAATTAAGGAGATATCAATTAAAGTTAAATCTTACAAAGTGCATATTGAGGGTTAAATCAAAAAAGCTACTAGGGTTTATCATGAGCAACCGGAGGATAGAAGTGGATCCCGATAAGGTCAAAGCCATCCAGGATATACCAACACCTAGTAGTAAGAAAAAGGTCAAAGGATTCTTAGGTTGTCTAAACTATATAGCCCGATTCATCTCTCAAATTATAATGACTCGTGAGCCCATCTTTTAACTATTGAAAAAAAAGAAACCCGGGAACCTGTGATGAAACCTATTCGATAACTTCTCATAAAATCAAACGACATCTATAAAACTTTTCTCTATTGGTTCAACTCGCACTTGGGTGACCATTGATTTTATATCCGAAGATCACCGAGTCAGCAATGAATTACATTTTAGGCTAGCATGATGATACTAAAAGAAAAGAATAGATAATTTATTATTTAAATTAGAAATTCATGGATTATGAATCTCGATACGAGTACATTTGAAAAGATGTGTTACGAGTTTAGTTTGGAGTGCTAGATGATTAAGGTACTAAATGTTATACTACATGACATGACTGATCTTAAAACATAGATTCTCTCAAGTAGATCTTTAAGGAGTCATATTTATCAACCTAGTTTGTAGGATGACAAGTACTATTGGCGGAATATGATACCGTCTACATGACCAAAAAATCAATAAAAGGTAACAAGATCGTAGATCACCTAGCGAGATAATGTAGTTGATGATTATGAACCATTAGATTTCAATCTTTTTGATGAGAATATTATGACATTTGAAATTGGGATAGTCAAATTTGATGATGAAAAATGGACTCTATACTTTGATAAAGTCGTGAACGTATCGAAAAATAGCATAGGGGTAGTTCTAATTTCTCCGGATGGCATGTAAGGACCTAAAACTTCTTCACATATCCTAGTCAATTAAATAAACATTAGAGTTAACCTTATTCTTTTTA